TAAAGACACTTCAAGAATGAGCACTTCTCAGAATTGTTGGAATATTAGTTGAAATCAATACTGTGTTGTGGAAAATAATTTTAAGAACTTCAAGTAAATTAAAAAAAAAAATATTAAACCACAGTATATTTTAATAGAAGGTTTCACAATTCGTGTTTAATTGCTATATGCTCAACCATAGTTAATTTTGAAAAATGCTCAGCTATCTGGGGTGTGTTCCTCTTTTATCACTGTAAACCACATTAGCTTCAAATTGTGCCACTTAATAAATAGTTTCTAAATTCTGGTACATCTGCTAGCCTGGGAGCAGACAGCAGTGAGACTGGTCTCCGGGCGACTTTAATTATGTTTTCCATTCACTTGATGGAAGTTCTCAGCCATCAGATGCCACCTGCTATCATTTTTATTTCCAGTCATATGAACTGTTGCTCAGGGCAGCAAAGGGAACCTTAGATGTCATTCTTGTAAGGTGCAGTGTCATGAAAACTCTGCTGTTGTATTGTACTTGCAAGGCCAGAACCAAGCTCCCAAAGCCTTCACTCGACTGACTGTACTTTGGTGGGTAAAAACTGCCACGGGTTTTTGTTTTTATTTCTGAAAAACCAACACAGTTTGGACTTCAAAGAACTGTAAAATATTTTTTTTTTTATTTTCAACACAATTTTTTCTGATTCTTGAAGTTTCTGTTAATTTTTCTGCCATCTTTTCTTTTTATTCTCCCGCTTTTAATCACAAGATGAATTAAATACCTATGTCAAAATAAATGACAGAGCCAAGAAATGAGGGAAGATTTATGTGAGTCTCATTAGGAACATTCTGCTTGTTAGAACTATGGTCGCATTGTGTGAGGCATTTTCATCACACAACCTATTTTCTGTGTAGACCATTAGCCAGTCAGTGGGGTTTGATTAAGTCCATTCTAGTATGTGATCATCAGGTAAAAACCAGCAGAGGATGAAAGTGTTAGCTGAGGTTTCGGGTGAGAATTCCTCCTTCAGTGAACGTTGCATTCAGTAAACATTAAAATGTTTGACATTTTAATTTTTTCTTTAGTTTTTATTCAGTGAATCATATCCTCCAGAGGCACCTGTAATTCTTCACAGCAATTCCCCAGGGTCTTGGTATTTAGTCCAGATCAGCAGCAAAGGAATCTATTGGGTGACATCGTGCTTGATTAGGATATTAGCTGCCATTCAACTAGGACACTGTGGTTGCCCACTGATGTTGAAAATAGTTTCTGTTTTGATATTTGATATTTGATTTTGTTATTTTAAATTTGTTACTACCAACATGTTTTTTGTAAGCCTCCAAATAAAAAGGCTCTTTTAGATACAACATATACAGGAATGTTTCTAATAATTATAAGGGTTTTAGCTGCTATTTTAACACGGTGCATCATTATCTGAGCTATCAATATACTGACTCTGAAATACTCATGTATCTGAATAATATTTTAAGATATTTTTAATACCCTTAGGTATGTTTGAGTGAGAGATTTCTAGGAAAAAAGGCACAGAGAAGCCTTTCAAGGGAGTACAATTCGAGATCCATTTATTTCCCAGAACTTCCTTTTAGTTATCAAAATTATAGATTGCATGGAGCTGTTGAAGATTTCCTGTTCTGAAATGTACAATGTACACTGTATTATAAATCCATTGTTAAAAATGTGTAAAAGTTTTGTTAACCCCAGATCTGGAATTCACTGCAGAGCAGGGTTTGAAATATTCCATTTTGGAAGTTTGTCTAAACTCAAACAACCAAACTCTGTACCAGAGCACTGGGGCATCCTTGTCTAATAGCTTATTACCAATCTCCTAGGGACTCACTGCCATGAAAGGCACTATATAAGCTTAGAAGAATTTTTATTCTTGCCCCATGTGTAGTTTAGATGTCATGTGTAGTTACTGTGTACTGGTAGTTTACTTCAAACGAATGCTGATTGAGGCCTGAGGAAACGATCGAGCTGTGTGCTAAAAAGAGGCAAAAAAATAAAATACTGCTTTGCTGTTCTACTGAGATACATCTGTGCTGGCTGCCAAATGCTCATTCCTAGTTTGAATTCAAAATTGATCACTTTAGCCTGTAGAGATAAGAACAAAGTCAGATCATATTTGTTTAAATATTTGGTGGTTTTTAATAAAATATTTTTTTAAGTACTATTGTACTTTAGTCCTTCAGAAGAGTCAATAAAAGAAGAACCTGTTCATTCACCTGAGGAAAGCTTGTATAAGCGTGTTTACTTTTTGAGAATATAGACCAGAATACAATTGTCCTCAAACACCTTCAGAGAATAACTGTAAAAAGAAAAGGGTGCTTCACAGTGCTCCACAGATGATGAATTATTTCATCAGCTTAGCCTTTTAAAGCCGGTTGTAAGTTTTTTCAAGAAAAGAAAATTGATAGGGTTGTCTGATCTACCCAGTCTTTGAATTGCACAGTATTTGGATAGTTTACAGGATCCCTCTAAGAGGACCTAAATATCAAATGTGTCTTCAAAATTTTCTGAAGAAATTGGCTTTTTTTGGAAATTTCTCTTCTTAACCAACATGAAAAAAAATATACCCAGTGAGAAGTAAGAGAACATATTGCTGTTGTTTTCAAGAAAAAGACATAATGAATATTAAAACCCAATTTAATATAAGCTGTGTTCCACATCACACTCCCATAGTTTAAAAGTTAAACCCTAGCCCTGTGCAAGGTACCAGTGAAAGAGATAAAATTCACATTGTCTCAAATTGCAACAGTATGACTCATTGGTCAGTTCATTTTTGGTGTTGTTTTCCATTGAGTTGATAAGTTGTGTTAATTGTGTCTTATAGCAAGTAACCATATTTAGGGACTTCAGAAGTCCTGATCAGTTTTCCCTCCTTCTGTAAGATCTACCAGATGTTCATTTCTTTGCAGCTAGTCATTTATTTCATTGAAGTGTGTAGATGTAAATGCTATACAGCTTCAAAGGTACTTCCACAGTTCAAGGTCCTACACAATCTCCTCGGGACAAATTTCTGTAAATCTCTCCAGACTAGTTGGATAAGTATGGCTTCAGAAATCAAATGTGAGACACCTTAGCTTGAAAAGAATATCCTAACACTATTTACATTTTCATATTAATATGTGCTATTGAAATAAATTATTGGTAATTTTTCTACACTCTAGAAAAAAAAAAAATAAATACACAAACCCACCAAATTGTAAGATTTTCTTACTGGAAAAATTGTCCAGCTATTTACTATATTTATTATATGTTATATATTTCTGATGATGGGAAAACACATTGATTCTTTCAAAATAAATTATGGGCTTAAAATATACCAAAGTATGTTGCCCTAATAAATGGCAACTTATATGAAAAAAGGAAATAAAGAACTTGAGGGCTTTATTTGGATCCAGTCTGTTATTGTAAATGATGCTCTCAATTTATTTATTTTTTAATAACCTCCAGCAAGGGAAGATTATTGTGATAAATGTTTCATATTGTTGCAATATATACCTTTCAAAATTTCCATATCTGGCAACTAATAGGCACTTCTTGAAGGCTTCAATAGGCTCCTTAGCCAGATAACATGGCTGGAAGCTGCTTCATGATTAATTTCATCTAAATGTGGTAATTATCATACTTTGAAGTAATGCCTGCAGAACATGCTTTCACAGAGAGTTAGTGGAAGCAGAGGATTAACCCAGAAATATTTCAGTTCAGAGCAGTATATCACCCAAGTAGAAATATATTTTCTTCCAAATTTTTCAAGATTATTAAACTACTTGGCAGTCATTTGCATTACCGTATCTCATATCAACTTCTCCACAGCAATTTAGAAAGCAACAGAAACAGAATTATTTGTATTATTAGCAGTAATGGGATAGTCTTGGGTTTGCAAGCAATTTAATTTGACAGGTTCTGCCCTGAAGTATTTCTTATATTAGCGTTCAAGAGCACAATTCATTTATCATTCATATATATGTTGTGGACATAAGCATTATCCTGCCTATATTCCAGGAACCCTATAGCTTATTAGAGAGGATGTTAATTTCCTTATAGCCATCCAGGGGAATGCCTTCTACCCTTTGCATGCCTTCTTCCTCTATGCATGCCTTTGTTCCTGTCTCACAGGATCTCCACTTTGTACAAGGATCTTCTTGGTTGTACAGGTGAGACTAGTGAAAAGGGCATGTGAAGCACCAAGAATGCTTCTAAAACTGGGTGATTTTTTACCCAGTTAAAAGCCCTGAGGTAGAACAGCATAAAGAATTATAATGGAGAGAAGCTATCTCTGTGTATTTCTGCACACTTATATAGCATCATTAAAGATTCCAAATCTCTCGGCCATCAGAAAAAAATTCCTGAAAAAAAAAACTGTACAAAAATCCTACCTTAAGTGAAAGTGAGTCTGAATAGCCTAGTTAAGTCTTTCCAGTCGATTGCGTGGCCATGCTGCATTTTGATTCAGCTAAGTCATTTCAATTCTATTCAAGTCAACCAGGGATGAATTTTGCCTGCTCTTACATAGGCTGGGTTAGGACCGAGTTTCTCCAGGTTCAAAAGGTGTTAGGCATAAAATCTTCTGCACTAGGCCTTAGATGTGTGATTGCCAACAACTGCAGGAGAAGAGCGCCTTTCATGACATCTCTGCTCTTGGGCTGCTAGCACATCCTCCCTTGTGCCTCTGCAGCCTGACAACATGCACGTGGTGAGCAACCACAGCTCAGTTGCTGCATGAAAGCCATGGTGGTAGCTCAACCACATGTCAAACCTCACGTGTTACCCTTCCAAAATGAAACAAGAGTGTTCAGGGTCACACAGGCTTCCCTGTATTTAGAAGTAGGGTTAAATTAGTGCCACTGTACCATGAAACAAACAGAAGTGGAATGAATCACTGTATCAGTCCAATGCACTTGATAGCAAATAAACTGTTTCACTTCTAAATCATACACTGTGGTTTTCTGTCTGCCTTTACCCTTACTGTGTTTTCACACATACGTGTTTGGGTTTTTTTCTCTTACAGATAAAAAAGAAGCTGCTGTATCCAAAGAACCTAAAAGTAAGAAACTACTATCTCTTTTATATGCCATGCAGTTTCAAAAAGAGTATTTCATTAATCAAAAAATAATAGTTAATGAGTTGTTGAAAATACAAAGAAGAAAGTAGCTACACCATTTATAATTGAAAAATGACATGTTTTAGACTTCTGCTGCCTCCTACTTTCCAAATCCATTCTTATCCTATTTCTAACTGCACATTCCTCTTTGTGACTGACAATTTTGCCTTCCCCTCTTTCCTATCACTGTCTTCAAAAGCAAAGGTTTCATAGGGGAGGAAATGTCAAATTGAGGTCTCAGCTGAATGTGATCTCAGTGGCAGCAATTTTCATAAATAGGCTGGGAAGGCTCAGAGTTCAACATGCTGAGGAACACCAAATTTATCTTCATAAATGCAAAGCAAGGGCCCTGCCTGTCTAAGTAGCTCTGGTTCCAACAGAGAAACTTCTGCAGCTGAAGAGAGATGGGAATTGGGCTCTTCTGAAAAAATAGCCAAAAAATGCTTCGAGAACATAGTATCATTAAAAGGAAAGAGCTATGTCTTCCTTTTCTGCAAATTTGCAAGTGTCAATGCCTCAATGCAGTAAGAATAATAAGACAGTATCTTTGGTAAAACTTCATCTGTTCAGCATTCTGTTCTGAAAGTACAATATATAAGAAAAATTAGAAAAAATATGAAACTTTGAAGTCTGATTCAAATTCACAGTTAAATAGTACACTGACTCTCATTTCCATGGATGAACTTCTGTGACTTCTGTGGTAGAACAATCTCCTGCCATCCTCAGTTTTGCAGCAATTTATTAAAAGATTTATTTTGGCAATGAAAAAAAAAGCTTATATATTGGGTTCTTATGCAAATTTTGCAGAAATATCTAACAAAACATTTCATAGACTTACTCTACAAGTAATGACATGTTAGTGAAATAAGTACCTGTTTTCAAGCAGGTCTTAAAGGACCTATTAATTTGGACACATAATTCCTCAGAACAGCCTTCAAGTGCCTAAAAGGAGCCTACAGGTGAGCTGGAGAGGGGCTTCCCACAAGGGTATGCAATGACAGGACAAGAGGTAATGGCTTTAAACTGAGAGTAGATTTAGACTGGATATTAGGAAGAAATTCTTCACTGTGATGCTGGTGAGGTGCTGGAACAGGTTACACAAAGAACTGTGGATGGATGTCCCCTCCCTGGAAGCGTTCAAGGCCAGGCTAGCTGGAGCTTTAAGCAACCTGGTCTCATGGAAGGTGTCCCTTCTCCTGGCAAAGAGGTTGGAATGAGATGAACTTCAAGGTCCCTTCCAGCCCAAACCATTCTGTGATTCCTTTCATGGGAGAATTCTGCAGCAGCTGTCAAAGCAAAACTTCCCATCTCAATCATGAGTAAAATTCACAGAGTGAAATTTGAAGCTGAAGTTCATGTAAAGATGCAGAATCATTAGCACATACATAATTTGTGAATAACAAACTGAAAATTATATGTTTGCAAAAGCCAGTTTAAACTTCGGACATTTTCATTTCAATGCTATTAAAAAGTTATATAAAAATTAAATTAATTACAGAATTTTTTTGTCAAACATTCTTTTTCTTAATTCTATTTTTCTCTCACAATTATTTTAGTCATTCAGATATTAAATGTTTAAAATAAAAATCTTTGTATAACAGAAAAAATCCTAACTTTATTTTCTCAGATGTTATGAAAACAAGTTTTAAAAAATTCGCTGTCATGCATGCTGTAGCTGAGAGCTCAGAAGGAAATAAATGGAAGAGTACTTCTATTTTGTATTAGATCCATTTGATACTTCTATAACATAGGCGTTGGATCTCTTCTGCAAAAACAGGCATTCAGAAAAGTGATATTAAGAAAATTCTTCTTCAAAGTCTTTACAAATTTCCCTGAAGGAGGGGTGAGCACCCCAAATAATTACAGTGATGTGATAATAGCTAAGTTAGGATATAATTACTAGCTCTGGTCTTTTAAATGGACGGAAATAAAGCAATCCCACACATGCAAACTATATTTTGTTTTAATTCCATTTCACAAGACAATCTGATGCATCTTTTATGAACTTCTCAAAAGACTGGAAGGGAAGGACTCAAAATTACTTTCCTGATTTAGCCATGTTCTTTTTCATTGTAATAATACAGTGACAGATGTGAAGGATTAACTAACATTTTTTGGCATTCCATAATTCAGCATGGGATTAAAATGATTAGTTATTTCCTCTCAAGATATGAAAACGTGAATTTTAATTTAAAGAACCTTCTAGTTGATACCAAAAAAAATCTTTTATGACCATTGGCAGAGTTTATCTTATGGATATTTGTTAAATTATTGTGGTCCAAGTACGGTTTGATTTGGTAATTCCTGAGGATAAAAGCAATTAACTAAATACTAATAAAGAGTGCATAAATCTAGTAGCTTACTTAGGCTCTTCTACATGGGGATGAGATTCCCTAAATCCACTTGGGGATGCACATATCATTCATCATTAGGACCTTCATTATGCAAGGACATGCGCTACAAGCAAAGACAGTATAATGCAAATGCTTCATGAAAAGACCAAGAATGGTTACATGGACAGAGAGGGCACATTTCTCTATCAGGAGAATACAGCAATTGCTCTTTCAATTACAGGATCACACATGAAGATGTTCTCCTACTGTTCCTCCACTCTTCAGGATGGAGGGAGCTTCCTTGTATAGCCAAGTCTGTGGATGTACTTTGCAAAAGCAGCCAAATTTCACCTCTTATAACCAGGGCCAGTTTCAGATTAGGGGAAAGGATGCCACTGTGAATAGCTGTGGGATCCCCTGAAGTACCACTATGTATTCACAAGAGTGAATCCTCAACAGCTGCCGGATGCTGGTTCAGGACTTATGCTCTCATAGCTCAGATCAGATGCAGAGGCTCCCAGCACACAGCTGCTGCCTGAGGGGAGAGGCCATGCTGAAACCCCTACATCCCTTCTTTCCTCTGCTTTGCCAACAGATATTGAACTGGTAAGCAGAAAAAGCTGAAAGAAGAGATTCAGTGCCTAACAACCAGAGCTTACTACCCCTTCAACTGGTTATTCTGTTGTTGCCTTTGAGTTTATTGAAGACCTACACACAGCCCTTCTCCCTTTGGGTAATCTCTTTGTTTAACTCTTCAGTTTAAAAAATTGCTACTGGCTTCCTCTCTCAAAGCCTTTCCTCAGATTTTTGTGGGGTTTTTAAAATATAATTCTTTGTAATAAATAATATTTTATTCTTTTTTAAAGAGCCAGCAAAAGCTCCTGCAGCTAACCCAGCCATCAAAAAAGCAGCAGCACCAGGTAAAGGAGAAAAATATTTGCATGCATTGTATTTATTGTATTCTTGAACCAGTTTATTGCATCATAGCACCATCTGCTGGATTGCACAAAGTTGTTGGGGTGGTTTTTTGCCTGTTCTTTAAATCATTATGATAATTCATATGTGAAATATTTGCTAAGAAAAAAAAATATTTAACACTGATTTCTAAGTGTCTAATTATGTTTTCTTCTTGTCCTCCCATGGCAGCTATGAGGTGCCATATTGGGCCATTCTGCAGGGCTTGAGATCAAAAAAAATATAATCTCAATGTAAAGTCTGATTTTAAAAGCAATACTTACAGAAACTAGTTTCCATGTGAAGCTATATTGGAGTCCTTTGAGAAAGGGATCTGATATTACAAAGTGCTGATCTCATAGTAGGTTGTCAAAATGCTGATCTTGGAAAATCATAAATAAGCACTGAAAAGTCAAGCAAACTTTTTAAAACAAATAATGGCATAAATTCCTATCTGAATTTAGATTGGATTGTAAAAATCTAATTTTTATTTACTTATGATCTCATCTGCTTCACAGCCATCTTCAAAAATGCCACATTTCTGCTTAATTAGATAAAACTTAATGCAATGAATAGCAACATGAATAGTCATTATATTTGCTGATTTACATTTAATATTAACTATCAAAAAACAGCTCAGGAATTCCCATACGAAAATCTGCTGAGTATAAAACCATAATACTATTCTAGTCTAAAGCAGGATAGCTGGTGCTTCAGCAGACTCTGTGCTATTGAGCTATGCCTGGTGCTGGCATCCCAGCAGTGGCCAGCCCACACTTTGCTGCTTTTTTGCCTCTAGCTGATTCCCCTGAATGGGTCTGAGATATTCTTATTTATTTTTTTCTTTTATTTTTCTTTCTTTAAGATTGTTTTCTGCCTATCTTTCTCTAATTCAGACCATTTCAGCAGTCTGTCTCAGTGATCTCCTCCACTGAAAAAGGGAATAATAACTTGCAGTGGTAAGGGTGATTGGGAATTGGTCAAGGATCAGTGCAAGCCAGGAACACCTGCAGTTGTCTCTACCACAGAAGGACTCATAGCCTGGAACCACAGAGGATTTGGGCTACTGCAGCACATATTGCGTGGCTTCACAATGCACTGTGTGAAACTGGCCTGGGAAGCACCACTTCCCCACCATTGCCCCCCATCCCTGCCTGCGGTGTTTGTTTGACACCATGCTCACCTCTGCCAACACAAGAGTTACACAACAGTGTAAACCACACCAATGCCATGGCTTACAGCTGGAAGCTGTCCTAGGAATGTGTGTGTGGCAGGGTGTTCAGGCTGGATCATTCCAGTAAGTCTGGCTCCACAAACATTTATATTCATGTCGCTGATAATTTCTTAAAGCAGTTTTGTTGCCAAAGCGTGCTGTATAGCTAGACCCTTAGAGGTCTCAACAGTACTCTGTAGAAATTATGTTAGAACCATATGCTTATAATTAATTCATTCCACCTGCTTGTATCCAATATTTGTGTTCATGTTTGAAAAATATTCCAATGAGTCTGCTTATTGGCAAGAACGGTGATGATAGTAATCTGATTAAGATAAAGAAAGGGGGAGAAATGGCATGGCTTCTTATGGAAAAATAAAATAAGTTTGTCTCTTCTGACACATTTCTAAATGTCTAGTTTGCCTTAAAAATTATAAAGAGCAGTAGGCTTTGAGTTTTACATTTTAGCTTCCCCTCCAGTTCTCTGAAAATTAATTCACCACCAGAATACCTCACCAGAGCAAAATATTAAATATGCTTGTTTGGCAACATCATGCTGCCTATTAGCACAGTAAATTAAATACGTTATCCAATTTCATATCTCATTTTCTTCCACATATCTTATTACATCACAACCTGTGCCCAAGAATGCCTAAAGCTCAAGGTTTACTCTTCTTAACAGACTGAACAGACTGAGAGCGCAGCTGGTCATCTCACAGTGTATCTACACCACATATGTTCCTGATCTTAATGTCACTGGTTGAGAAATCTCTGCCTAATTCAACATGCACTATTTTTATCTCCCTATATGTATATGTATACAGAGAAAGCAAAGAAAGTGATTATGGAGTTTAGAAGTCTATGAGAACTTCTGGATCTGCAAGCTGATAGCTGCTCTAGGAAACCAGCCTCAATAAACTTCCATTACTCAATTTTGAAAGTGGATATTTTCAAGCATTTCCAGATTTCTCTAACTGGAAAAAATCACCTTTCTGACTATGGGTTGAGATCTTAGTGTTTGGCTGTAAAGCAGAATAGTTCCATAGATATATGCAAATGATGCTGCTCTGAAGGGAGAAATCAGAGCTGAAGAGGTTTTGTTACACATCTTCCTCAGTTATCCTGTTTCATGTTAATTCCATTCTAAATCCTGCAGCCATTCCCTCATTTTTTTCTGCACAGTGCATGGTCTCCCCAGCTGTGCCAGCAGAACAGGTCTGAGGGTGACCTGCCCTTACAAAATATCAGTCTGTCCTTTTGCTCTGAGGAGTGGCACAGGTTTTCACAGGATTTCCACAGGCACCCCTTGTGTGCTGGGCCCAGCAGGCTCCCTCTGAAGGGTTTCTCAGAGAAGGGATGTAGGTGGTGAGTAGCTGCCATCCTGACATCTTTTGTCAGGAGAGGGGGCTAGGAAGGAAATCTCCCTCTTATTCCCATCCCTTTGGAGCCTCACACCTCAATCTTTATCATGTCCCCAGCTGTAGCTAATTCTGCTGTTGGTGGGACAGTCGTCACACTACACTTACAGTAAGTTTGTTGGATCTGTTTTGTCACTGTGGGGAAAGCAAGTGCATGTAGGTGCAGGACAGGGGAGGGAGCACAGGCTCAAACCATGCAGAGCATTTCCAGCTGAATTAGCAGGAGGGTGACTGTATTCCCAGTATCACCAACCTCATGCACTCCTGCAGCTAGGGAGAGGGATGGGAACAGCTCATCCGTGAGTCCCTCTCAGGAGATGGTCTCACTTCATAGGCAAGACTCCTGCACCATCTCTGAGCACCAGTGACGATGCTTTCCCCTGAAAATTTGCCTGATTTAAAAACCAATTCTAACTCTTTCCAACACTGCAAAAATTAAATCCAAATTACTGCTAAGAATTTCCCTGGAATGGTCTTGAAATTTTTAATTTAATTTTGCAGTATGTTTAACAGATTTTGTACTGTCACTTAACTGCCTAATTACTGGGTTCTAATGCCTAATTTTCCCCATCTTCCTCTCCACACACATGCAAAAAAAAAAAATTCTTATTCATCATTTGCTTTGGGTTCATAAGAGAAACTCTTTTTGTGCACAATTTCCCTCTTGAAAATCAATAAAATTTAGTCTGGATCCAGAAAGAGTAAAATAAGTATGACAGACAATAGCTAATTTTCAGTGCTCAGATGTCAGCTGCATCCAATCTCCCAAATTGACTGCTAGTTGTACTAGAATTATTATTACTTTATTATGTTACCAATCTTTCCACTGTTTGTAAGAAGCAGAAAGAGGACATTTTGTATGAAAATATATAGGAAATGGGTTCATGGGGTAAATGCAGAATATTAGAATGCAGGCTATACTGAAAAACTCGGTTAGAGGATGGGTTTTATAGGTACAGATCACTCTGCTTAATGCAGGATAAACTACTGGTTTTACTGCTAATGGACAGAATTTGCTTAGCAGGGAAGTTATTTTAATTCTTGGTTCAAGATAAATGATTGTAACAAAAATGGCAGCAGGAAAGCTAGTGTCATATGGAGAAAACTGGTTTTAGTCTTAAAATGGAAAAGAACCCCAAAAGTTTATGGAACAGTAGGTATGTTTGCAATGTAGAAAAAGTTTATCAAGGAGCTGGATTATTGATTATCTTTTAATTATCACCTGTAGGTCACAAGTATATAGAAATATATATTATATAGTATATGTTACATATACTTAGATTAATAAAATTCAGCATTTCTATTGAATAATTCAGCAGCAGAGTGGAACAGGTAAACTTATCATGGATTGTTTGTCAGGTTTCTCAAATTCAGGTCTCAAGTCACAAGCCAGGGATGTATTTTATTCACAGCACCACACCCTCTGCATCATCCATCAAACTATGTATTCTCATCTTGTGTAGTAGATATGTGTAGTCAGTGCAAGAGGAGAGACTTCACAAATCAGGGTAAAGTTTATGTTATATGCCCTCTGCAAGTACTTTTAGAGAAATAAAAAGGGGCTTGTCTCCCTCACTATATAGGGACATAGTAAAGGCTTCCATCCTGAATTCTCCTCAGGATCTTATGTCTGACTGCCTCTGTGTGCCCTGAAATTTGTCTTTATAAGCAGACACTGCACCTGGTGAAAGCATCTCTGCATGTATTTCTGTCATACTGATGTTACCAAGAAAATTATTCTGGTAGCTGGATTAGATAGTTCAATTTTCTGTTCCCTGGAGTTAACCCTCTCAGACATTTTTCATAACAAAGCACAGCCATTCTAAGGGTTTATATTCCTGGTTTATACTCTATCTCTTCGGGAACAAATGTTAGAGGTAACTTACTGAATGCAGAAGGACAAACTTTGTAGTTTATTTCTGTACAAAATAAATCTTCACTCAGAAGTAGTGTGTGATACAAGATAGCAGGTGTGAACAAAACAATGAAACCCTACCTGTATTAATACTGCTGCTTAGGTTCTTTGGATTTAGATCCAGGATCATTCTGTAGTCCTTCTGAATCACCAAAGCTTTCTTTTCTGTCCATTTTAGCATATTTCATCTGCCCCACCTTAGCTCTTTGGGAAGTTAAATATCATATCTTCTCTGACTTAGTAATTTTCTTTCTGTTTTCAATGGGATGGTTCCAGGCTTGCTTCTTTTTGCAGCTGGAAGTTATCCGATCTCAATCCCCAGCTATACGCCGAAGGACAGGAGAAACTGGGTCTTGGTCCTCAACTGTTTGTCCCAGGGTTCTTCCACTAGGCTTTATTGAAGCCTCAGAGCTGATTGTG